TTTTCTTTTCCTACTGAACTTAACTGATGTGTCAAATGCATTAATGGTTGGTTGCCCAATGCGGACAGAGAGTAGGGTGGAGCTCCCCGATTAAAACAAGCTTGGAAGCAGGAGTGGCATCCACTTCCATAATAGCTTGCCTCCAGAAACACTATGAACCTGGAGAAAGGATGAAAGGCACCCAAGCATCGAGGACTCTCCTTCATAGGGTCGCTATGAATTGCCTGCGACTCGACAGCACTTAACAACAACAACAACACTGAACTTAAAAAATACTTTGTGATGGAAGACACCAACTGATTTAGAATATAATTTGAAAGATTTTGTTCCAACTCTTTCTGCTCTGGACCTAATGAGCCTATCTGAAGGGCTTAACTTTTCTCAGACAGATAGACCATTGCTTCCCAAAGCAGGCCTTTTACACGTGATCCCAAAAGAATCTGATTTAAAAGGACAGTGTCTATTAGTGGGGACTTCATGTGCTGCAGAGTAAAACTAAGCTCTGTACGATCTTCTTGGCTTTAATATTTACAGAAGCAGATCGCCAGGAAAAGCTTTTCACTGCTGTGGATGGGTGTAAAGCACTAATTTTGAGTTTGTAGCCAACAGCAACTGTTTGCCCCACAAACACAAGGTGTTGCTATGAACTGGGATGGACACAATGGCAAAGCTGTATATTTTCTTTTGGGAGGGGAGAAGGGTGTCCCTCAGTGAGGATTAGCTGAGTGATAAAAAGGGTAATGCATGTTTTTGCTAACTGAAATGTGGTGGTATGAGTGCACCTAGTTGTTGTTAGGTGTTGTTGAATTGAGTGCAAATCATAGCCATCAACATATAGTGGGTCAAATCAGTATATAGTTTATATATATATGTTGTTGTTGTTAAGTGCCATCGAGTAGTAGACGACTCATAGCAACCCTATGAATGAAAGACCTGAACACTTGTATAACTTTCATCATTTCTCCAAGTTCATAGTTCCCCGAGATAAGGTATTTTGGAAGTGGATGCCACTCCCGCTCCCAAGCTTGTTTTATTTGGGAAGCTCCAACAAACACTGTCCACCATGGATAAACATTATCACATTTGATACATCAGTGTCACAATGTTTAGCATCACAACAACAACAAGTTACCTCTGTACAGCAAATGGACAGACCAGTGCTATATCACTTAGAAGAATGTTTGACTAAAAACAATTAAAACCAGGCCCGACCGCAGGCCTGAGGGCTCAAATGCATTTTTAAATAGGAAGCCAATCACATCATCTCACACCCATTAGTGAATCAACATTCCACCCTAATCTTCACCAGAACCAGCAAACAAGCCTCTGTAGAATCTGACTGCTGCAGACAACTTCCAAACTGGATTATCTATCTATCTATCTATCTATCTATCTATCTATCTATCTATCTATCTATCATCTCTATATCTATCTCTCTATCTTATGTTATATTAGTATATAGTTGGACCAATCATAGTGAACAACAGATCTGAGCCCTGTCCTATTCTGTGCCATCATCATCATCCCTGACACAATTGAGCCCATTGCTGCAGTCCCTGTGTCAGCCTATCTGGTGGAGTATCTTCTCCTTCACTGCCCCTCCACCTTTCCAGGCACGATGACCCTTTCCAAGGTACGACCTCTCCTAGCAACATGCCCCAAGTGCCTGAGATCAAGCATTGTCATTTTTGCCTCCAGGGAACACTCTGGCTGCACCTTCTCTAAGACATAGCTGGTTTGTTCTCTTGGTAGTCCATGGGATATTCCATTCTCATCTCCAACACCCCAGCTCAAAGGCATCAATTCTTTGTCAACCTTATTCATTGTCTAGCTCTCAGATGCATAGCAAGTGGTTGAAAAGACCATGGCCTCACTCAGGAGGTACCTGATAGCTCTACTGGTGCTGCACTGCTAACCAACAGGCCAGCCGTTACAAATCCTGTGGAGCACAAGGTGGCTGAGCGAGCACAAATCCATTCATTTCAAATCCCGTGGGACCTTGGTGGCTGGGACACAGACGTGGCTGTGAAGAGCCAGAGTGGGATGAACAGCAGCTGGTTTGAGTTTTGCGTTTGTTGTCTATTAGTTCATTTTAAACTTCTCAGTACTAGGTACATAGTTCTCAAGAACCGCGATGCCTAAGCGGAGATGAAAAGCGTACCAAGCAGACCAACGCAAGAGGAAAGCCTGCCCTCATCTTCAATCTCTCCTCATTCTACACCACCAGCCCACCTATGTTTCAATTTTTCCTGCTTCTACTTTCCGTGGCTGCTGAGCTGGAGGATTTATGTTCCCCACCTTCCCTGGCACTCCCATTCTTCCGGTTGAGTGGCTAGATGAACAGTCCCTCCCGTTTGCCAATTGTGCTGAGTCTGATCTCTGGGTGCCCGATTAACCTCCCATAAATCCCCACAGAACTCTGAGCTGCTGCCGAGCGCGGACAGAAGTGCTGAGCATGCCCTCTCCTTTACTCTGCTCTCGGCTCTTAGCAAGGTCTATAAGCAGCCTGTGCTGCACACCACCACCCCTGCTCACTGCTGCCCTCTCGTCTACCTGCTCTCTCAGTTTTCACTCCTGTGTCCTGACAGAGGCAACATCTTCCTTAGGACCAAACCACACAGTGGTTTCAGTCTTCCCCCTGATCCCAGACATGAAGAAAATCGGGAATGGACATATCTGAACCTCATTTGCCAGCCTCTTTAGAGGCTGTCTTCTCCCAGGGACATAATTTCTCTTCCAGTAAACACAGCGTGTCTGCTTCAAAGTATCTCACCATACTGTGCACCAGACACATACAAATAACCCCCAACAGTGTGCTTGTGACTACACAGACCAGATCTGCAATTGTAAAGGTTTGATGGTAAAAAGCCATGATTTGTGCTGTATAAAATCTTCCAGCAGTTTCTAGATCCAGTTTAGGGGCAAGACGGTACTTTGTTAAAGGGAAAGAAAATGGCAGCATCCTAAGTACAAGCGTAATTGATATTTGGCTCTATCTTGGAAGCAATGAAGAGTGAGCCTTCTCTACATAATTTGCCTGAAGGCTATCTTTGTTATCAATTAAAAAGTCTCTGCTACTGCATAATGCCACTGTTGTAGAATGGGACTGACATCAAGGTTGGGGTAAGACTGAGAAAAATTGGATAATACTACATTGAGGCAGATGAGGGAGAGAACAGTTTAAAAGTGATATATGGTTGGGTATTATGGTTATGACAAAAGTCCAGAATGAAGGTTGCATAGTGGAGTGTACTTGGGGTGGGGGTGGGGGGGATTGTATACCTGTGAAAGATTTTTTTCTTTTACTTTTCAAAGATAGGAGCAAACTGGGGCGGAGGGGTGGGCAGGGAGAAAGGTGCAACAATGAATGAATGGAAATCCAAAATCTCTGTAAACATTCATTAAAATTAATTTTTCAAAAAAAGTCTCTGAATATTGTGAAGATATGACCATTTGGGTGCACTGAGGCTCACTTTGAAGCAATTGCATCTAAGGGAACATCTGGACCGCAGGAAGAGGGAGTTGGTCTAAGATGGTCCTGTTGGCGGTGGCTGGTGAGTAGGTTCCGGGAGAGGTGAGCTAGTGGGTTCTCACACACAGACCCACTGGGCTGAGTTAGTTCTGACTCAGTGGTGCTCAATGCTTGGATCAGAGTTTCTCAGTCTTAGTGAGAAGACAGTGTTCATCGTTTTCCCATGGAGCTGAATCATTGGGCATGTGCCACTTGGTTTAGTCGTCCAAACACGACAGACTCCAGCACCACAGCTCTTTCTCTAGGAAGCAATGAGATGAGTTCTCTTGTTTTAAGATTTCTCTTCCTTTCTCTTTGCTCTACTTCCCCTGTTAAACTGATCTGTGACTTGGAAGGCTTTCTGCCTGTGAGAAGAGTCAGGGGACAGGCTGGCCTTTCAGAACACAGTGTGATGACCTCTGGAGACCAGAGAACTTGGAAGCATCTGGGCTGTCCTTAGGAATGGAGCCATCACCTGCTGGCCGGCTTGCCGTACTGTAGTGACTTGTGTGCTATGACGTGGGAAGGCATGCCATCGATATTTCAAATGTTAGCAGAGTCACTGATGGCGAACAGGATTCAATGGCGTTTCCAAAGATAAGGTGGGGAAGAACAGCCCAATAATTAACCCCCCTAAAATGATCCAACAAAACGATCTGGATGTCCAAAGAACATTGTTCAAACTGCTTGCTTTAGATACAACATCAGGACTCAGTGGCTCAAAAAAGATGGTGGGTGAGTAGAGGGCCACTAGGGGTGAGGGAGGCGCTGGGTGGGATGAACTGGACCACAGCTCAGTGACGGCCTCAGAAGCACTAAGGATCATTAGGCTGATATGATACTTTGTTTTGTTGCACACAAGATGGCCAAGAGTTGGAGATGACTCTATAATACCCATGCATCCATGCATGCATCCAT